GTGAATAATGTTCGAAAGAAAATTAGTTGTGCGCTTTTGTACTGTCCTTAGCGCTGCTGGTCAGTGTCAGACCACACTTGGTTGGACCTTTTGGACGGAGCATGAAGAGGAAAAATATATTTTTTTCCCCTCCATTTTAGAAAAACTGAAAATGATCTGTCAAAGGCAATGATACGAGGCTATTTGATGGATGGGTTTGTCTTATTCTGCCTCTCAATATTTCACTCCTTTACTGACATTTTTTTTCTCCTTTCCTCCGAAGGAAAGCCATTATTTCCATCACCCTCCACATTTCAGCCAAATTCGCTGTATCTGTCCATGCCTGGCCAAAGGGAAGAAAAAGCCATTCTGTCGGAGTTGAATTTCATTTCCTCTCCTACACATCGTTTTTTTCCTATGATTTCTTCATGGTGCGGGCTTACAATGCAATATATTATTTCACGGGTAAACACAATATAGCAATACTCGGTGGTGACTGCTGTTATTGAAATTTGGTTTATAATTACATTTGTATACATGCATCTCCCCGGAGATAGTGTGCAGTCTGAGGAGATGTTTTTTTTTTGTTATGCATTTAAATTAAACCATAATGGTTGCTCCACACTGGACCACCAGAAAACAGGGACATTCCTGGTACGTCTATTTGGAATAGATTAACAGATAAACCTATCAGGAAAACAAGTGCCCATTAAGGGGCCTGATTGTCATGCCAGCTGAGTGAATTCACTCAACAGTGAACCTCTTCGTCTGCTATTTTTTCTAAAAGTTTTGCTACTAGAGAAACACTGATCCTTAAAAGGTATAACATTATTAACCAGTGTAGCACCGGCCTTCATCTTGCACCTCTCATTGCGTATGGCAGTTGTGCTGATGACATTTCACTATATTAGCTTTTCACTGTGGTATTGTAACCTGCCTGTTTTATGTGAGTGTTTGTGCTGGCTCGTTCGCCATTAAAGGCCCAATCTCCCCTTCATTCTCCCTTCATTCTCCTTTTCCTTTTTTTCTTCTTTTTCTCTTGCTTTTCTCAAAACCTCTCACTACACTGCTGTTTTCGCTCAGAGATGTTATTAAATCTCAAAGCAGTTAGTTGACTTGATCAGTGTGTGCTGAAACGTTGTTTACCCCAGTGGGCCCTGGGTGTTATAGACATACTCATCCCTCTCTCTCGCTCTTACTTTCTATTTCTCCCAGAGTCGAGCAATAAAGTGATTTCTCTGGGGAAACTAAAGCCCTCTCTTAACTGGATGGGACCACTACATGTTCAAGTTTAGGTATACTGGTCAATACCAAAAACACAATAGGCACAAAGAGCTGCAGCTTATGAGAATGTCCATTGTGGTAGTTTTATATGGATGCCTGGCGTCCTAAACCGTGTTATTATAGGACTGAACTTGTGCAATAACTCACCCAGACAAAGGCTGGCTTGAACAAAATGCAAAGGCAAACACAAAGCCATAAGCAAACGTTTTCTGTTTGTTTGGATGTGGATGTTGTGGATAACTCAAAACAATCAAAGTCGAGAGCCCTGAATCACCACATGGCCCCTCCTATATGTACGCACAGCAGATGGTGGCCAGTGGCAGGATGTTCTGGTAGGCATTAATGCTGCTTACTATTGCGATATGGCAGAGAGCACATAATGACAGATGTCAGTGTTCCCCATGTCCAAGAAAATAAGTGATACGCTAGCCAGACTCTAACTGCTGTCTACCCGGACGGAAGAGCAAAAGTATTATATTAAGGCCTGATGCATCTTGATTTTATCTTGCTCTCTACAATACACTGATTTGGCATATTTGCAACAGTCAGACGTTTGAGAGGGGAAAGAGCCTTGCAGTTCTGTGCATGCATTTGTTTGCTTATATGTAACTGCATGTGTGATTGCTCAAGAGGAGCAGATGGATAGCCTTCTTATCCCTGGCTTTTGGATATTGCCCATATATTGGATATAGCCATTTTAAACTTTCTTTCGTTTATATATCAAACACTTCATCAGTTAACCTATTAAAAAAAAGAAAATGTCTGCTATTAATTGCATGTGTGCTGACATAAAACTCAAGGTTCATCTGCTTAAGAATAATCGTAATGTGTGCTTTCATCAACATATGCAAATATAGTGTATATTGTAAGTATGCAAGAGTGTATGCAAGTTCCACTTTCCACATTTTCAGTATGTGGTCCATATGCACTAATGTTTGCTTCAGTAATAAAATAAAAAATCCCCAGCCAGCTTGACAACAAACACAGAATGGCTTGGCACGACTTGAATATTATTTATCTGGTTCCCCTCCTCCACTCCAGCATGGTTTTTGTCGAGTCAGAGGAAACCATCTGCTGCCCGGTGATAATGGGCAGCCAGGGAGGAGGGGACTGGAAATGGGGAGAGCAAATAAAATTGAGAGAAAATGACAGGCGTTGTCCCAGAAGCTCCAGTCCCTTCCTTCCTACCTGCAGCAAGTCTGCCATCTTAATAAACATCCCGTCTGATATCTCCTGGCTCCTGTGAGTGTGTGTGTATGCGCACACCTGCTGTGTGTGTGCCTACACACTTTTGTTTCCATAGTGTGTGTCTTTCCCATCTAACCTTGATCATTTTCAACTCAGAATTGTTCCTGAGCCTAGCTGATATGCTGTCAGTGATGGCGCTGACTAAGAAACTTTTTTTCCCCCGCTATGCTAAGACTGTGACAGCTGAATTACCTTTCAGCAGGAGAGATCTTTCCAGTTTTTTATCCTGTTTTGAGTAAATGGGTGGGAGTATTAATGAGGGAATAATATTAAGGCATGTGCAGGGCCAAAGGAAAGTAAGAGTAAACTCTGCGAGGTAATAAGAAGTAGCCTTTATATAGGGGAAGGTAAAGCATGGCTGGAGAGGAATACAGTAAAGCACGGAGCGAGGAGGAAAAAACTCTCATTAAAACAAATAGAGAGTTATAGAAAACAACTCCTCCCCTTGAAAATGGTCCGAATTTTTCCATCCCCGAGTCTCCAGGGTTCTCGGATTGAATTGAGCGCTTAGGGCATTCTCTGAGTAAACCATTTCAGTTTTGTCTTGTCTGAAGCCGACAGGTTGAGCTGGACAAAAAGACTTGACAGCCGCTCTCGCCCTAAACCCAGCTTAATTCTCTCACTCCATCCCTCTGTCTTCTCCTTTGCCTTGAGATGTTTCCCTTCGCTGTTTTTTTTCCCTTTTGCCCCTAGCACTTACAAACTGTCAGATAACTTTCAGTATGAATTTATCAAGCCAGTGACACTCATTGAACCTGTCTAATATTGTGAAGTTGTTTATTACGGAGCAGATGTTTGGCTGCATCAACACCATGTCTTTAAGTGTTAAAAGCTCTGTAAAGCTGTGATAAATCCATCCATCTTACAGCAGGGAGCTTGATTTTCCTGCAACGGGATCGATGCGATATGTAAAGCTGAACATGAATTTGCCACCAACTGAAATGTTTGGTTTGCTTTTTTGTCGTGGTCGGGCGTTGTCGACACAGCTGTCGGAATGCACGATGGCATGCTTGATAAAGTGGACGCCAGGTCAGGGAGGATAATGGAATTGAAGGATGGAGGGGACACAGGAGGGGCCTGGTGACCAGGTCTTTTCTATTAACTCAGGAGGCCTGCTGGGTCGAGGCGGGGAATCAGGCTTGGCTCTGCCCTCTCCCTGCCTGGTGGTTAGCCCTAGCGTCCAAGCTGCAGACAGGGAGAGGCCAATATTGCTCAGGGGTTCAGTGGTGATTGACCCGGTGTTTTCATCAGCCTGGGCTTACCTGATAACATTCCTTACCCCCCTACCAGAGCAAATATAAAAAGTTGTGGGTGCATAGCACGGCTTAGGGAGCTCTTAGTTTGGTCTGGTGAAGTTGCATTGGATTTACCCAACCCCACACACACACATTGTCTCCCAGCTTTTCATTTTCTTTTTTGAAATTACATTTTTCTCTTCTCTCATGCCTGCAAAAATGATTTCATTGTATTTATTCTATTTGTTGTATTTGTGTTCAGAATACTATTATTTCACTTGACTGAACACAATGTTTAATTCATTGCAAAATTAAGATATACAAAGTCTCAGGGGGAAGGATCTGAATTTGAATTTAGCCTACACTAGAACGTTAATTGTTATTAGTATATAAAAAGGAGAAATACTGCAAACACTCTTGAGGCCGTGAACAAGATTTCTTTTTCGCCCTCATTCCCATTATATATAGTCTGTAATCAGCACTCACTTACTCCTAATAATATACCGTGCTCCATCATCACAGCTCTCTTCAGGGCCTTTAAAACAGATTGATGACTGTGATTTGTTGCTTTTTTCATTCAAGCTATAACATATCATGTTTTTTTTTACCAAAGCTGCACTGGTTGAGATTTATTGATCAAGTGGCACAAATAGTTTTGGTCCTTATTAAGATAAGATGTACCTTTTATTTATCCCGATGGGGAAATTCAGGAGTTTAAAGCTGCAACAGAGTGAGAGTAAAAAACTTGACATACAGATTCACGAGAGGATAATACAATTAAAAATAACATTATATAAGTGACTGTTAAAACGGGAAAAGGTAAACCGTTTATCATTTTAATAAACATATATCCATGTTTGAGTTTGGGTTATTAAATATATGTACATGTACAGTATGTGTGCTGATTTGAGTACAGGTCAAATTCATTTGTACAAACAGTGCAGATTTGATGTAAGTACAGTACGGGTTACTTTTAACTGGTTGCATGGTTAGCCCTTGGTTGTGCAGCCTGAAGGCTACAGGCACAAAGGACTGTCCGAGGCACTTAGTGCTGTGCCGAGGAGGGATGAGTCTTCACTAGCTCTGCATGGAGGGGGTGGGAGGGGTTCTTAAGGATATAGTCCAGCTTTCTCCTTGTCCTCCCCCTCTGCCACCTCCTCCACATTGTCCAGTTTTGTATTGTCTTGGAAACTCCTTTTTTTATCTCGTACTACACTCTAATGAGTTATGTTGTGTGTTATGCTGTTTTTTTAGGTATCAGGTCTGTCTCCCGGAGATAACCAGACCCCAGGACTGCTGCTGGCCCCAGGGGTGAGGTGGGGGCAGACACCCATCAACCAGCTCACACCCTGGGATACAGATGAGCCCCCTGCCAAGCAACATCGAGACAGCGAGCCCACTGGTAATGAATCACACACACACAACATTTACATACAGGTGTGCCTACGTACTGACATACACAAGCACCCACAACACCTGATGTAAGTTTTTCATCATTGCACAGCAGCAGATGTATGCATGTACACGGACCAATCGCTTGCACACACACTTATGTGTTACACCCCAGACAGATCTGGCCAGCTACACTAGCATCTAATGCTAATGAGACATAGTTGCTGCTTTGCCCTACATAAAACATACACTTGCCTCCAAAACAGCATACTTTACATAAACAATCATGTATAATTAACATTCAAAAACACCATCTTTACATAAACCAGTTCAACAATTTACTGTATATAATTATAGAAATGTAAGTTTGATATCAAGGAGTAAAAAAAAAGAGGGCAAAGTGTACACACTCACAGGCTTCCAGTCCCCCACCACCTTCACTATGCTCTCATTTTATTGTCCCTGTTAATGTTATAGTGTCACTAAATGAAGCTGATTTAGTCTAAATTAAACCTATGAAAGGAAAAGTCCTCCAAATGATCTTCACCAGATCTAATTTAGATGTCGACCTTATTCTATTCATGCCCCTTTTACGACGTGTACAGAACAACAGTGGCACAGCAGAGCAGTGTGCACGCCTGACATCAACGGGTTAAACCATTGTTGAAGTTTTTTACTTATTGTAATGAACTCACCCAGAATGGCTCTGCCCTAGAGCAGTTAATTTCCTTCCCTCGCTCTGCTGGCCTCTGCCTCCTGCTCATCACAAATGTGTCTCATTTAAGAATAATACTGGCACGGAGCATGTTCCACTGGAAATTCCTGCTCACCAAATCCAGATTGTAGACAGCTGCTACTCTGTGGTAGCAAAAGCATCAAAACATGTTTCTGCCCTCCTGTTACTGCCTGTGCCATCTTATTGGAATTTGCATATCTTACATATAGATTGCTTCGTGAATGAATTATTAATCAGTTTGACTCAGGAGGGATGCTTCTCTAGGAGTGGGGATCTCTTATGATGGAAGCATGCTGTTGTGATATGAGTGAATGGAGCACCGCGGCGGTGTGCCCCCTGCTGTGTGACCACAACCCCCTGCTGTGCACTGAGGGGCAGGCTGAATTGACCATGAAGCTGTGGAGGTCTTATTATAGTTTGTGAGCCCCGCCCACCCACCACCACAGCTCCCACACCCACACTTCAGTTTGGAGTAAAGCCTGACTGAGAGTGAGATGTCACAAACGCAGCACACTGTCGCATATGACACTCAATTCTGAGCAGAGTGTTGCATATTGATTTGCATACGTGCGCTATTTCAAACTGTGACTGGCGTTTGCAACGAAGCCAGCTCCTCTCCACACTTCACTGAACTGTGTTGCCAGAAAGTTCGTCTGCCAACTGTGGCAGAATTAATCAACGTTTCCTTTCAACAGAAACTTCACTGTTGTGTCTTTTCAAGAAAGTTTGTCCTTTGGAAGATTTGTTTCTACTTTACTTTCTTTGTGCGAAAATAGCTCTTGTTTTGAAATTATGATTTAGACCTAAGCAAATTGTGGAATATAAAAAAAGTACATGGAATTTTTAAAAGGTAACACTGCATTTTTAGACTCATTATGAGATACAACGCAGCCGGGCCATGTAATATTAATGCACATTTATTTCAACTTTGCAGGAGGACTTTTGAATGTAGGCCAATGTTGGGTCATTATATTCCAATTCTTTGACAAATTAATTATTTAAAGAAATTGTTAGTGACGTAAAACATAAAATCGGAGGACGGAGGCTTTAATTGCTTATCAATATTATCACTGCATTAAAAACTTAAAACTTCATACAGTAAAATGTAGAGTTATTATACTAACCCATTTAATTTGAATCCTTTTATCAAGATGATCCACAAAATAAGGGAAATTAAAAAGTGTTGGTAAAAGCTCAATGACATGTGGATAATGAACTGTCCTCTGGACCCTTTTATCTTTGGTTCTTTTCTTCTCACTGCCTGTCTCCATCCCTTTCAGCCCAAACTATTATATCAGCAGTGCCAGTTTCATGAATAATGTGGACGTTTTTTTTCATTGCTTTTTGTCTGCTGTGATTTAGCCTTTGGCTCTTTGGCAGAGTGGGATGCTATTTTTGGAGTTTGGACCATGGCGGGAGGAGCTACAGATGAAGGAGTCGGAGCAAATGAGTGAGCGAGGGAGGCAGTGTTCAGGGCCAAAATGGCCGAGCTCACCCTCAGAATCTACGCCCTCAGGGTTAAAAAACGATTGACTCAGCGTGTTAGGGTACACTCCTACACAGATTATTCTGTCGATTCTATGTTTTCACATTCAGAAAAGCATTCATTTTTGTGTAGAAAAGTAAACCTCCTAATCGTATTATGATGTTGATCTTGGGCACAGATCTGTACATCGCTGCAGATATCTTTGATTGATATTAAGTCAAAAACAAACTTGGACTGAAGCGAAGCAGCACACTGACAGATGTGGTGTGGAGAGCTCAAGCGGGAATCCGTCTTCTCATGTTGTTTTCGTTATTTGATCTTCCTTAGAAATCAATCCAGAATTTGGGGGTGGGGTTTCTCTGTCTACGACTTGTAAATAATATATTATAGCTACAGTATAAACAACGATTTCTATGAAAGCTGAATAAACAATGGATTAATCTCTCCCTTTTATCTTGTGTTGTCTAAAGGTCCTGCCTGGGCTACATCAGTAGCAGCGGTGAGCCAGCCCAGTCTCCTGCCCCACACCTACGCCCTTGCCCAACCTCCCTCCTTCAACCACAGCGTGACTGCACAGTCACCCATAATAGGGGTAACCCCATCCATGCAAGCACCAATTCTCCCGCAACACCCTCTAATGACCGCCCACTTCCAGCTGACGCCGCACTCCACCCAGCAGCCGCCCTCCATGGTGCTCAACATGCCTGGGCAGCCTCCGTACCCCTCCATACCATCTGCCCTCGCGGCCCAGGCCAACCACGTTATTCATCCAAACCCTCACAGCCTCATGGGCAACGGCCACTTAACCTCTCACCCCGGCCTCCTCCAGCACCCCGCCCTGCCTTTGACTAACGGACAGGCGGCAGCAGCACACGCCCAGGCCACAGCCGGAGACAATCAGGACGGTCCTAACGGGGTGCAGATGCTGCGCACCGTCGGGATGGGGAAGTACGAGTTCAGCGACCCGGGACATCCTAAAGGTAAGACCAGATGGCCTCGGCTGATCTGCACAAACGTGTTTTTTTTTGTTTTTTTTAAATCTCTCTCTTGCAGATATGGCACCTGTTACGACTTTCTGTGAAATCACAGCAAACATTTTTTAGCTGGCAACCTAAGCTCACAAGTGAATCTTAGCCAAGAAGGTATTAGGTATTAAATCAACGGACACTTGGCTCTCTATTCTTTATGACCTACCCTTAAGCAGGGTTGTGCTGGAAAATGCAGAGGTCTCTGCCCTACCTCTAACAGGGCAGTTACAGATGCCAGCAGTCATAAACAAGGCAGCACACACTCAAGATAGGTTTGTTAAAATACAACTTGCAAACAGTCACAATTGGCTTCAAATCTGCTCCAGGGCCGGAGAGAAGCAGAGGTGCTCCTAAAGCATCAGTGAGATAGCTGCTTCTAAAATCCTGTAATACAGCCTACAGTGGATTCTTTGGAAAGAACATGTTGTACAGATCTGAAATTACTATACAGCTGCAGCACTGTTATGCTCTGAAATTGGTTAAAAGTGTGTCAGGTTTATCGTTCCTCCGCTCTCTGTTGCAATACTCACTAGGCCCACTAAACACAAGGCAGGAAGAGCTTTCAGTGCCTGCCCTCGCATCACTCTCGAAAATCGTTTGAAGCCTTGTTGACTTGCGCTGTGTTTGTGAAGGTGCTTCACAGCTCCAACTCACGCCTGAGTCTGCGAGCCGTAAATTGGTGTTTGGTTTAACCTTGGGGTTTTATGACGCAGGGCACCAGAAACAGATGTTCGCAATTCCCCGACCAATTTTCACATTTAATGAAGCTTTTAATTTAGGTTTAGATTGTTTTCTTTTTCCTGACTCATTTTGATCAACAAAATGTGTGCAAATGAACTTGTAGATTGCAAAAAAGCAATTATGTTGGGGACTGCCTGGGATACATTGAAATGAGACCGCTGGTAGAATTGGAAATGGATAATTAGACGGGCTTGTATCCTCGGTCCGGCCTATATCGAATGAGAGCTTTTTAGCTTCTTTGTCGAATAGAATGTTGCGATTCATTAAACAAGTGCATGTCAAAATGCACTGACCTTCGTCTTACAAGCCAAAGAAGCTAGAGTTTAATTTGAATTACAGTATTTATACAGAGCCTTTTATATAGAGGAGGCAACCCTGTAGGATTGTTAAAATTCATTAGCTGTCCCTGTGATTCATGTTATGTGAAAGTTAATACATTCAGTCTGTATGGTTACACTTAGTCAGCTGCTGTATTTCAAAGGCAGAGGGGAAAGCATCCCTGTGTACATTTCTAGACACAATATGCACTTCTTGACTCTTACATCTTCTTTTTAGTTTTTTTTTTCCATCCCTGCATTGAATAGACATTAGTAAGTCGCAAGAACAGTGAAGAGGGGGAAAACATTGAAAAATTGATTGAAAATTAGAGGCTGTGGCATCTCTTCACCATTTTCTCCCCTGACAGGAATACTTAAAGGTGGGGTAGGTAATTCACTTCAGAAAAACATTTTGTTATATTCCATGGAATGCTCTTAACATCCCGATACCAAAGAATACATTAAATGCTTTGACAATAAATACATAAAAAAAATGTCATGCGGCTGTAGGGAAAAGCTAAATGTATTCCCTGTAAAATGTATGTTTTTGGGATTGTGTGTGTGTGTGTGTAACTGGATGGCCTACCTGCCTGTCAGCTTTCCATCTGTGCACAAACTTATCTCGTGCCCTCATTGGTCATGTGCGCGTCCGTGTTGGAGGAGGGGCTTTGTAAGGAAGTCTGAAGGAAGGTCAGCAGCCGTAATCACAACTCCTCCCCCCCTGCACCCCCATTGCCCTGCCCCTCGACACTGCCCACTGCTGTCCATCTGTCTGTGCTTCTCTGTCTTTCTTTATCTCTGCAACTTCCTGTCTTTTTTTCTTGCTATCCCTCCCTGCTTTCTCGTTAACTCGGAGATGTCATAAATCCCAGGCCCGTCACTAATCCAATGCACTCTGTTTTTAAATCAATTAACACTTCATTACAATGTGGCTATAGTGTGCTGCTGTAGTGGCATACTGGTAAAATACGGAGGGTTAGCTCTTGCAAACTGCATTCTGTCTCACTTCTGGTACAATTTGCTTAACCTTCTGTTTGTCACTTCTTTGCCTGCACAAAATACAAATATTTTGTGAAAATAAAGTAAAGCAGCTGTAGGTTAGAGGTGAGCGTTTCTGCAGCCCTCTAATGGCTGAAGTGAGGATAAGAGGGTTGGCAAATCTGATCCCAAGAGCAGAGATTTTGGGCAACGCGTGCATCTGGCATAAAAGGAAGCGGCAAGTCCCAGGACCAGCTCACACAGACAGACATGGTGTATTTCTTGTGCTTTTTGCTGCATACAAACACATACATTGGCTTCATTTTTACCTCAAGAAATGTATAAGAGCAATACAAACCCTTGTAGCACATACACAGACTGTACACCAATCCACTCTGGGGTAAAAGCCAAAATGTGGAATAAATGAGGTGCACACTGTGCTGCTGACATGTTGGAGAATTTGCTTGAATAGCTGATGCGTTATCAACCCTCACAGAGGTGGAGGAATGAATATCCATTTGCAGATTTAAGCATTTAGTGAGAATGTGTTCACTACTGTGGTGGTCACAATATTTACTTGCAACTACTGCTATTCAATCACCCAAATTCAAATTAAGAATTTAGCTTCTAGTGTTCATGAAAACAAGATGTGGTCATGTCATAATATAATCAGGATTTTTACAATAATCAAGTAACCTTACTTGCAACGTTCAAATCCTGATACGGCCTCCTACGTCAGAGGGGTTCCAGAAGTGATTTTTAGAGAAACAGTTTAAACACTAAAGCCACCGCTTAAGAAAGCTTGTTTGTGCATTCAAACAAAAAAAAAAGCTTGAGCCTCCAGACACAATGCTAGTCAGTGCTGATGTGCAGAGGAGGTTTTGTGGCTTTTTGATGGCAAAAGCCTGGATCTTGGAGGAGTTGACAGAGCTCTTCCTATTTAATCCAGTTTTACAACAGACTGCTGTACGTGCCTGCGCATGCATGTGTGCGTACAAATGTGTGTGCGGTTTGACACTCCTGCACAACTTCTTGGGTGTGACTGCATAGATGTTTTGTCAGATGTCAGCCTCCCAGCCTTAAAGCCAAACACCACAGTGACAGAAATCACACTCCGTGTTTGATTTGGCTGAGCCTTCAAAGGGAGCAATTTGTCTTCTCTCTGCATCAGTGGGCACATCAACAACTATGTGCTCCTCACTCTCTGTGTGGGTATTAGCCTGTGTGTTTTCTGTGTACAGTATATAGTACATGTGTTTGTGTATGCCTGTGTAAGAGCCATATGTTTGTGTGTTCGTGTTAAGATACACGCAGAGCAGCTTGAAGGCAGTTTTAACCTGAGCACCTGCTGTGAAATGTCAGTCAGCGGGCTGTGATCTGCCAACCTGGTTTCTCCATCCACAGCAGGGGCTTTCCATTATACCTGCCTGTCATGGTGTACAAGTCAAACCTACTTGTCGATTGTTCATTTCCTTCACACCACCCACTTTCGCTGACATTTTATTGTCTTTTCAAAAAAGAGAATCTCGCCAAGTTTTTCAAACACTTAAATAATCGTATCTGTAGCTCAAGCAACAGCAATCACAACTGTCGGCACATTTACCGATATGTGGGAATACAGGATGACTCACGACAATACAGCAAACAAAGAGGATCAGTTGCCGAGAGAAGAGAAGCTGGATAGAGAGAGAGGGTGAAGATGAGAGAGAGGAAGATACTGAGAGCAGAGTCGGTACGTGTCTATTGACCGAGTCATTCAAATCGATGGCTGTCCTGATGAATATCAGCTGAGAGAAGCTAGTGCCGAGCTCAGCAGGGACACACTCGCTCACTGCAAACGTGATTGAGCAACATTTAAAGGCAGCTCACGACTGAAAAACACATTAATATGAAAGGAAAGTTATTATTTCCACATCTGCTGCCTGTTTTAAAGGTTAATACTCAAATGATGTTTTTGATATTGTTTTCTCAGCATAGCATGAACCGAGACGCCTGTTGGTGGCTGCACTGCGATCCTGCGAAACACTGTGATGCTGATGGAAACACAGTCCTGGTTGGTAAATGCTTAAAAAAGAATTAGCAGATGAATCAAAGCCTCGACAAGTCCAGGAAGGGGTTGTTGAGATTTAAGTTTGGATTCAGAGACAGATCGGTCAGGCCACCAGCTGTCTTTCTGAGCATTAGCCCCCCCCCCACAACCTCGTCAGACTTCATTTTAATGCGTCCTTCCACCTGACTGACCTTTACCGGTCCCCTCTTCGTCTCTCTCACACACATCGCTGGAGACGCACATATGCAGTCAGACGATCACATGCGTAAATGCACTCAAGTATGAACGAAACACACCCACTTCAAGTGAGGGACGTAATCCTCCTCACATCTACAGCACCCAGCCTCCTCTCTGCCCAGGAAGTTCATCTTCCAGTCAGCTCACATCAGCCATCATCTGGGGGCCAAGCTGCTCCAGAGCTGCTAGTGAATGCAATTTAAGATGCCTTGCTGAGTTAAGATCAGTGCTTTACTTTGCCACGGCAAGACCAGCGCAGCCTCACGTCCTCACCTCTCCTCTGCTGTGACCATTTTACCTGCATTATTCAAACTGTGGCCTTAGTAAGATTTCAATTATGTTTTCATTGTGTTTACTTTTGGACAAAGCGTATATGCACTGTGGCATTGCTGTCCACTTATTACCCTAATATTACCTTTAAGTGTGGACATTATGGATCACCAAATGAGTAAGATAGTGACTGCTTACAAGGGCAAGCTGTGTGTGCAGGTGCTGTTGATTTAAGGGAGAAATTAGCCTCCCTTCACGACTCTTATCATTCATCATCAAAAGTAATTTTGGAATAGACATGCTAATTTATTGTTATATCATTTTATGTCGTTTACCCGTTTACTGGATTTGATCCTGAT